ACAAACCAACATGTGAATACTCTACAACAACAACAAACATCTAAATTTAGAAGTAGTGGAAAAACAATAAAAAAAAAAAGAAAAAAAACATGTGTAATGCAACTGCATTTAATCAACACAATGATAGAAATCCTAGCAATTCCATTGGAGGAGCAAATAATAGAACATCTTAGAACACTAAAAGATCATCACAATGAAGGTGATCAAAGATTTCTGCTTACTTTCATAGAAGATGGATTAATCAACAAAGCATTAGAAATCCCAAACTAGGGAGCACTCATAAACATCACAATTATTGACACTGTAGCAGTGAGACTTCTCAACATCAACCCTAACACTGTGGTCAAATGGGCTTTAGCTAAGGAATATATTAAAACAAATATGGGAATTTAATCAACTTGACATGAACATTCTGAACAAATCCTAATCAAAGATTTACAACAAATAGTTTAGATTTTAAGCATACTTCAACCAATACAAGACAATCCTGAGCAGTCTAGCCTTGAACAAACTCAAATAGCAAGCAATGGCACAAACCAGGAACTGTCAAACGTAGATCAACAAGTTTCAGAATTAGAAATGGAGGAACAAACAATAGAGAATCCAACCACAGCTGAAGAGACACAGATTCCAGAGATAATCATAGAAGAGCAACACTTTTCAGACACCTTTACTCCAACTCAAAGCCTAGATATCAAATCGATACTTGACTATATAACAAAAATAGGCAATATCAACCAACAAATCCCTTCTACATCTGCAGAAAAGAATTGTACAAAGTGGGGTAATGATAGCCAACACACCAGAAGACAATAAATCAGAACAGATAAAATACTTGACTAATATTCTTAAGCTTGCAGGAGACAAACAGCATCTTATTAAGTCTTATTTTTTAATGGCAATGGATGATAAGCAATTTATTTTGAACATAATAACATATAGTCACAGAATCAATATAGTCACATTTATATTTTTACCAATAATTTTATTATTTATTTTACCTCTATATAGGCATAATCACATTATAGTCACTATCACATTTTTTATTGACCTCCTATATAAATTATTCTCTATAAAGTCACAGATCATGTGAGTTTTTAAATTGGCCAATTTTTGGTTTCTTTATTAATAGTTTTAATAAATGTAATTAATATATGTACATAATAAAATGACTATGTATATTATTGTTTATGTACATATGTAAGACTGTTATTATTATTGTTATTTATTTTTATCTTGTGAATAATTTTTTTATAAAGAAAAAAATGAATTTAAAAAGTGAAAGATTCATCAACATGATTAAAAAAAATATATGCAAAGATTCCTTCTTATTTTTTTCTCTTTCATAACACCATTTTTTGAGTCTTTTTTATAACATTTTTAATCCATTCTCATCAAATCCCTTTCCAACTTCAAGACTTTCTTAATAACTTATGACTTTTTCAATGCTTCAACAGCCTCTATAACAGTTATTGGAGGTGGTGGTGATCCTTGTCATCATCAATTTCATAATTATTACGAAACTCATTAATTACTATTTTGATGATAACATTGTCTGTTAATACATCCTCCATTGTAGCTGATTGATCAATCAAGTTGATATATTCTTCAATATTATGCATTAATTGTTGAGCCTCCAGAATAGTCTCAACTGAAAGATTATTAATTAGTACCACAGTATCAACAATCTCATTTTCTGTCTTACTTTCTTCTTGTTTGCTTATTTCTAGTTTATCTATTTTGGGGGTATGTTAAAGCCATGTACCCACATGATCAATTATATATATATGATACTTGTAATTAAAAAATTTTTTTATGACATAATTGCATGACACAAGTAATTTTACATGGCGAAAAAATAATTATTTAATATAATCATTTAAAAATAGGAATTTTATATTACATCAAATAATATTTAATGTTTTAAAATAATAATACGTAAGTATTTATATCTAATTTTTTTTAACTATTTATTAAAAATAGGTTTGACATATGAATTCAATTCTTTAATAAAAATATTTGTTCATTTCACATTCCCCACCCATTCCATTAATTCATTTATAGCCGCATGTCTATTTTCTGCAATTTTTTCAGCTTCTGTCTTCTCTAATATTTCTATTTCAACCAATTCCCGGTGCTCATATATTTCAAATCCACTTTCCTCAAACATTCATTGAAATTTTTTCCATGAATTAATTGTCAATAGCTTGTTGATACCATAAATATGGTCATGAAAAATATGCCAACAAGGTAAAAAATAGCGATGGAAAAACAAGCAATAGCAATCTATTGATATCAAATTTGGCAATCCTTTACCTTTCTCCAATCTTTTTTCAACAGCAAGAACTTCATTAACAATTATTTTTTGAATTGGGTAAGGAAATTTATGAATTTTGCTAAGAATTTCATAATCAATATTATCTATAGAAATCTGTTTGATACGAAATTCGAAGGCTACATATTCCGAGTCAGATTGTTTTTTTGTATCAAGTGCTAAAATCTTATAACATGCACCAATCAAACTATACATGTGGTAGAAATTGGTAGATCCTTGATGCAAATGACGCAATTATTTGACGCAATTAATTGAGTCACTATTAAAACATAAAATAATTGAGTCAGATGCAATTATTTTTGAAGATTTTGACAATTGAGTCAACAGCAAAATAATTTACACCACATGTATAAATCAAACCATGTTGAGAAGAGGTTGTTCATTTTAACTTGCTATAATATGACTCCAAAAAGTTAGTTGAAGTTACTTGTAAAAGAAGTGGTGAGTGTTGATGGGCCCAAAGAGCCCATTAATATGTATTTTTTGCATAATTTCATAATATATATCTTTGAATTGTAAGAACCGGGCACTCATTAACTGCTTGTTTAATAATTTTCTCACAGCCAATTCTTGTTATTTTGTGCATAGCCTGAATCATTTTGTCTCGAGTTTTTGCATCATATATCATATTCATCCAAGTTCCATAATATGTATTGTACAGTATATAATATCACACTTTTGTTTGCCTTTTTGAAGACCTTAAAATAAATATATAATTTAATAAGTTTAATTTAATTTGAAAATTAATTCTAATAAAATTCTATCTGGAAATAGCATTGGCCTCTACATTACTCTGATCAACAAAAAAGTATCGAGGTTTCCAACAGCATTCAATTCGTTTAATTACTTTTAATGCTTCAGCAACAGTATTACTATCTTCATTGCTTATGGGGAAATATGCACTGACATCCCAACACCCATATCCATCATAAATATATAATGAGAACAAGCACCAATCATATTTATTTGTCTTATGAGTAGAACCAACAAGAGTTAACCATCCAAAATGATAAAGCTTCTCTAGTTGATTAGGATGTGCAAAAACAAAGCCATAAGTATGTTGATGAGAAATTTCATAGTGCTCTACTCGATATTCTTGTTTTTCTAAAAAAAAA